AATACACGGCGTTTAAATGAGTTAATGTATATGAAGTTACTAGAACAGTGCCTATTTTATTATTGTTATTATTATTCCTTACATTCCTGTAAAACAAAAACCGGCTGGGAGAAGTTTGTTTTATTGAGTTTTGTTCTGCTGGTTTAACTAGTATATTCATCTAGCTGTGATAATTATGGCACCTAGAATACTGTGGTGCAAACTGGTAACCATTTCCCACTTCTCTCCTGCTCCTGAAAGAGCAGTTTCTTTGTTTCTGGTGGCTGGTTGCCACCTCCTTCCCATATCAAAGAGATAAGCCCCTTCTGTTTTGAGGACGCCACTATCTTTTATCTTGGATTGTTTCCACAATATTTCTGTATTGTTTTGGCCTGTGTTTCCACATGAGGTATCTGAGGCTTGCAGGGTCCAGATCAGAAGTGCGCAGGCTGTTTTCCAGGGCTATTTTCTAGGTTGTCTTCTGACCTTATTGTGTTTAGATACTTTACTTCAGTGGCCATTCAAAGCTGCCTTCACAAAAATGATGGAAGAAAAAATTTAAATTCTGAGCAGTTTTAGTTCATGTAAACCTGCTCACTTATTCAAAGCATTCATTCACTGATCCATTTATACACCAAAGACTCTGTAAAGTGCTGGGCTAGTGCTGGTGAGACCAAGATACTATTCTTATCTTCCATGGATTCTGAAAGCTTGTAAATCAAGGACTCATTCAGTCACCAGTGCGGACCAAATAAGCTTCCACCTCTTAGTGCTACAGCAGTGACCAAATATTGAAAATACCGACAAACTTGTTATCAGATTGAACCGAAAGGGATTTGTTATAGATTATTTTGGAAATTACTAGGAGGCCCCAGGGATGAGCTCATCTGCTATAGCTAAGAGAAAAAGACTACTGTCCACATGGAATTATTCCAGTGGGAACCCATGAATGTTGCTGTCCATTGCACAATACAGCAACCTTGGCCTTGGCCGCTCCCCAGGGACACACACTCGTGCTCATCTCCTCACTTTCTGTAGACACCTTTGCTTGGAAGAATTCCAGTCAAGAGAGTGCCTGGGAAATGTGGCTCTGGGTTTACAGTCTCTGCACGAGGGGAAGGTTCACTGTCTACACTCAGGGTAAGGTAAGCAGGGCAGGCTGCATTACAAGGAGTGGTCGTGACAGCTGTGTCTGAAATCACACTTAGCTGTCAAGAGTCATCACACTGGCAGTTTGCCTTTCATGTTGAAGATTCAGGTCTTTACCTTCAGAAGAGCTGGCCTCCACCTCCTCCAGCGTCTCCTTCTGGACACCGGGACTCTACTAAGGTGGAATTGCTCTTTCTTCCTGTATCATTTCATCCTGCTCTGCCTCATTCATACTGCTTTCTCTGGGTTCCTTTCCCACCATTCTTTGCTTGGCTGGCTGTTTCAGCTGAGAAGTCTTCTCCAGAAAGCCTTCTTTGTAACTCTAGGTCACATTTGAGTCTCTCTTTTTTTTTTTTTTTATGTTCACATGAGCAGATTTTGTGCCACATATTGATGATTTCCTCCGTTACGTTAGAACAATCTGTTCATGTCTCTCGTCCTCATTCCATGAGCTACAAAAGGTCAGGGATGCCTTCTTCATCTCTGTACCCCCAGAGCCTGGCATAGAGTAAATTCACCAATATGTCTTTTGAAATGACACAAGTTGAATTTTGAAAAAGTAAGAATTGCTTGTTCAATAAATTGGGAGGAAGATGGACATTTCAGGCTGAGAAAATAGCACATTCAAAAGTACAGGGTCATAGAAGAGCAAAATGGGTTTGAGAAACATGTGCACAATTCATTGAGGGGGGGAAAAAAGCCCACCGGGCCAAAATGGCATCAGAAAATTAACAGGGTTGGGATTAGGATGGGTCTTGGGTGCTAAGCAAAAGTGTTCAAGCTTATTTAAAAGCTTTGGGAAGCCAAATTGAAGGATTTTAAACATATAACGGACTTACATGATCAGATTTGTGTTTTTAAACAGATTTGTTTAACAGCGGAATAAATGGAGGATTAGAAGGGCTTAGAGTAGAACCAGAGAGACCGCAAAGAAGTCATTCCAAGTAATAAGGGAGACAGACCTGAAGGCTATGGAAATAGCATGAATAAGGGGCAGGCTCGTGGGCTGCTTAAGGCTACAGATCAGTAGGATGGGGCTGCCTACACAGCTCAGTGGTAGATCACTTGCCTTCCACTCACAAGGGCCTGAGTTCAACCCCCAGCACCTCACCACACCCCCTCCACACACAAATATATATTATATACACATATATACATAAAAATATAGATAGATATTTCTATCCATCTATCTATGGGTGCATGGGTGCATGTGGTGGGGTGGGGGGAATTGGAGGAATTTGGGAACTGATTTGCTGTGGGAACAGAAAAATTGAGACTGGTTTAGTAGAAGGCCTCTCATCTCCTCTCAGAAACTTTCCTCATGCTCAAAACCCTGAATTCCCACATACGGGTAATGAATGACAAATGACAAAATGTATCATATCTCTTCCCATCTGCATCAAGGGGAAAAAAATCTAGATGTTAGTGTGGAAGGGGTTTTGGAGGGACCCAAGCTAACCCTAATTTGGTGCATGACTGAGAGAAGGAGTGATTTTTCCACTCTTCCCCTGAAAATCAGTAGCCAGCATCTAGTCAGGTCTCCATTGCATCTTCTATTTAATTCTCCACTCAGCACTCTTCTCTCACATTGTCTTGTGTGTTTGCTTATTTTCTATCTCTGTCTGACATTAGGATGTCATATTTAAGGGCAGAGTCCTTGACTATATCAAACAGTGTTCTGTCTATAGAGTGGATGCTTAATGAAAATTGGTTGAAAAAGGAATGAGTCAGGTACAATCAGGTCTGCCCATCACCAAACCTGTTATCTCTGCACAGGACCTTGGTTTGGAGGTTATCAAATTCATAATTCTATTTCCTACTAAGACTTTGCTCAGACAGTCCCACAGAGATTAAAATCTATTAAGCAATAACATTGTACTTCACATGGCTTCAGATACAAAGAGCTAAACATAAGCATTATTATATGACTTCAAGAATATTAGTCATTGACCTTTGCACACCTGTTAGGAGGACTGATATAAAAAAAATAAGTGTTGGTGAGAACATAGATAAGTTTTGGAATCATTTTACACTGTTGGGAATGTAAAATGGCACAGTTGCTATGGAAAACAGTATGGAGGTTTCTCAAAAAAATTAAAAATAGAATTGCCATGTGATTCCACTTCTAGGAACTTACCCAAAAGAACTGAAAACAGGATCTCAAAGAAATAATCTCTATACCTAGATTATAGGAGCATCACTCATAATTGCTAAAGCAAATATCTGTTTTTATGGCTCTTGTTCAACCCAACTTGCCCATTGATGGATGAAGCATAAACAGAATGTTTATATATGTATGTATGTACACATACAATCATTCAACGTATGAAGCAAGAAAATTATAATACATGCAGCATCATGGCTAAACCTTGAAACTATTGTGCTAAGTGAAATAAGCCAGTCACAAAACATCAAATTCTGGATGATTCCATTTATAGGAGATAACTACAATATTTAAATCCAGAGGGAGAGAATGTAGCTTGGGAGGGTGGAATGCAGAGTTCTTGTTTAGTAGGTATAGACTTTTAGTTTTGAAAGATTAAAAGAGTTCTGGAGATTAGCTGCACAACTATGAATCTACTTAACACTGCTGAACTATACACTTCAAAATGGTTAAGATGGCATATTATATGTCATGTGTGTTTTGCCACAATTTAAAAAACATTTACCACCAAGGTATGCATATCTTTTACCTTATTTATCCTTACAAGAACTCTGAACTGATACTAGAAATAGAAGTCCTATTTTATAGCGAGGACAATGAGTCTCAGAGAAGTGAAATGATTTGCCCAAGGCACACAGCAGAAAAGAGCTAGGCTGAGCTTCACTGAGGCCTCCTGACTTCATGCCCAGTGAAGGCTCCTGCCATGTCCAGGGACAGGAAGTACAACTGGATTAACTTGTCTGCTGGCTTAAGTGTAAGAAATCAACTCCTGGCAATTTGTGGAGAGAGCTGTAAAAGTGTCCATGGGTTGTGGGTGTGTCAGGGGAGAAAAGAGAGAGAAATCCAGCATACAAATGCAAGCCAGTTCCCAGAGACCTGCTTTAGGCCTCTTGTTCAATTCCCTCCCTTCCTAAATCTTCAGAGAGCAGGTGTGAGTCAACTATAAACAGTGAGAAAAGGTCACCCAACATTTCCTCAACTGGCAAGCTAGGAAGTCCCTGCCATGGAGACAGTCTGTGTACCTGACATTAGAAACCTGCAATGTGACCTGGAGAGAGTAGTGGCTCTTGTTTTTTGAAAAGGCTCCATTAGATGCCCTCCTACCTGCTACAAAGGCAAAAGATGAGAAATGCACTTACACAAATAAACAAGGTTTAGTGGGAGAAAGTGGGGGGCCATAGGAAGAGTATGAAGCAGGAGTCAAGCCCAAATCTCCCTGGTTGGATACCAGCCAGTCACTCACTGCTCTGGGCCCTTCCTCTACCCTCAGGCTCTGGTTGACATCACCACAACCTACTTTCAGACATGAGGCTGAGCCCAGTTTAGAGGGAAGAGTAGATCTCCCACGGGGAGCTGAAACTACCAAAGGATCATTGAGCTTTTATTTGTCATGGACCTACTATGTGTCTGGCAGTGATGGACACTTGATCTTTGGGAGCCCTGATCCTTTATTAGTATCTTCAAGTATCCTTTATGTGCTATGAAAAAAATAAACATAGCTGAAGTGCTTCAAAGAGGAGACAATCATTTCTTTCCATCTCACATAGCCAGTAGCATTACTGACTGAGATTGCCAACAAGTAAGCAATTGGATTACATCTGCCATTAAAACTCTTGAACATGTATAGTGAGGTCAGCTAATCACACTGGCTTTCTTTCTCCTGGAATAATGATGTTTTTTGTTTGTTTTGTTTTCTTTGGGTTTTTTAATGCTTTAGGAAGGAGTGAAAAACTTCAAGGAACTTCGAGCCAAATTTCAAAAGTTTGATGCTCCAACTCTTCCAGGACCTATTAAATTCCCAGCAGGTGACTCTCAAAAGGATGAAGTGGTATGTGCACGGCCAATTCCGATCCTGGCAAAGGGGAAACCCCTCTCTTCCAACCATAATCAGCCCCTACCATATTCTTGCAATGGTGAGTCCCCACCTCAGAAAACCAAGGTGACCCAGAGGAGTGAAATGCGGAAGAGCTCAAGTTCCCCAGGACCTCTAGCAAAGTCTACTGTGTGTTCCACAGGAAACTTCCAGAAGGCCTCTGTGCTGTTGGATGTGACTGGATCAAAGGCCGAGGTAACCCCCAAGGAGAGAGTGGTGGCCTCCAGCAGCTTCAGAGACAAGCTCAGGAACTGGGAGAAGGTTTCCTCTCAGAGAAACGAGACCTCATCGGCCCTTCCCCTCTCCGATTGTGGAGGGAAGGCCTTCCATTTGGAAAGGCAAAAAAGCATGGGGCTTGCCCCAGAGAAGCCCAGGAAAAAGCTGGAAACCAAAGGAGCCCAGACCCTTCCTTCTCAGAGGCACTTGACGGCCCAAAGAAAATCACTCACCATCTCTGAAGACCCTTCTTCTCGACTTTCTCCACGTGGCAGGAAGAGCCAGGAAATCTCCAGTCCTGAGAGGGGCCTGGCAGGCAGTACCTGCCAGCCTGTTTACGAGTGTGAGCTTGACAGCCAGACCCCAGGTAAGAAGTAGACCGGGGAAGGGCCATTATGTTTTTCTAACTAAAGCCTGTTGATCTGAAGTGGTCATTGGGAATAGGCAATGTAGCCTGAGGATTGTAGGCCTATCTGTTAGAGTCTCAAATTTGGATCAAGTGCTCAGTCTCCTGGAATTCATTGCAATGCAGTTTGGGCATCCTGGATATGATTCCTAGACCTCGTTCTTACACAACTGCAGGAACTCAGGCAATCTACAAATTTCTTAGAGCCTGGTCTGCTCTCCTACAAATCAGAGCTGTCATCAGACTTTGTTGGTAAATATCACAACCATCTCAGGCTAAAAACCCAGGAGTGAAGCTCTGTTCTTTCTTCTCTCTCATTCTTTACATTGAATCCATCAGTCATTGCTTGGTTGTACCACAGAGGTGAGTTCAGAACCCCTGGACTTCCACATATCTCTGCCCCCTGCTCTTGCCACACCATCATCTATTACCTTGACCACTGCAGTAGCTTCACGGGTCTCCCTGCTTCTACATTCTTAAATTTTGTTCCCTTCCTAGTAGGCAGAGTCACCCTGCAAAGCATAAATCAGATCACATCATTCTTCCGCCCAAAGTCAAGTCCAATCATTAACAGGGATTCATGCAATTTAGTCTTTGCCTGCTTCTCTTGCCCTCTCCCCTTGTGCCACATTGCCTTGATAATCCTTATCCCATGCTGATTCCATCCCAGGTCTTTGCCCTTGTCGGTCCCTCCTCCTGGCCAGGTCTTTGATGTCTTGCTCCCTCCCCTCATCAAAGTCTCTATTCTGAGTGGTCCTTTTTGGTCACTCTGTCTAAAAGAGCTACACCAGTTCCATTACCCTTTGTTGTTTAATATCACTTTGATGTTCTTTATATCATTTATTCTTACCTGGTATATTGTTATATGCTTCCCTTGATAAGATGCAAATTACAAGATGGTAAAGACTGTCTTACCACCATATCCCCAAAAAGAGTATGGTCAGGTGAGCAAGTCTTCAAAAAGTATTGGTTCAATGATTGATTAAATGGATGGATCAATCAATGGAGGAATCTCCTGCTTACAACCCCATGTGGTTTCTCTGACACAGTCCTCGTGGCCCTGTTCTCGGGTCCTTGCTCTGTATCTGACTTTTCTCCTACCTTTCTTCCCCTAGCATACTCCCCCATAGTCAACATGCTGGAGAGATCTCTGGAGTTCTCTCGTTTGCCATCAGTTTCCTCTTAGTAGAATGAACATTCCTACACACAGGACCACATTTGTTCTCGTTTTCAGTTCTATCCCCAGCTGCCAGTACAATGCCTGAAATATAGTAAATAAACAGTTATTGATGAAGGGGTGGGGAAAAGAGGAAGGATAAATAGAAATAAAGATGGATAGGAGAGAACAAAGAAAAACAGAACCTACTGGATAGAACTATTGAGAATTAAATGAGATAGCTATTTCAATTGCTTAGCACAATGACTGGTAAAAATTAGATCCGTTAGTGATAGTTTATTATTACTTAAGTCTTCTCCCTAAGTCTTTTCCCCAATTTGATAAAGAGTGAAATTTCTGATGCTGCGACTTATAATTAAAGACTAAGAAGAATCTAGACTAGGAATTTGGCCCTGAGCTTCTGGGAATATGACTGTGGTAGGGCAGGAAAAAAGTTTTCTGTCCCCTCCCAGCTCACAGAGTTCAAGGAGGTCTCACAGGCACAGGAAAAACTGAGTGCACTTCTTTAGTGTTAGTTTGGATGTCCTACGTAGTCAACTACCGTATTATGTAAACCAAAACTCAGGCGCTTGGGTTATATAAGAATTTGTGTTATTCTCACAAGAAGCAGATAGAATTTTCATATATAATGATAGAATTTCTGTTGGAATTGGACTTATGAGTACATAAGAACAAATATTTAAAATTGGGAAAATTCCAGGACATAAAACTCAAAAGATGCCAAGTTCCACAAAGTCAGCTTTGAAGCAAGTCCTAGGCTATCAGCTCTGGTGATCAGAGATCAATTCTTACTCCTCTTTATAGTCCCTTCCGTGTTATTCACTCACCAGGTGTTTGAGGAATCCTTTCAGTGAGTAGCTATGGTTTGTCCTTGCTTGGTGTGAGGAGACCAATATGACATAATCCCTGCCCTCAGGAGGTCATGGTTAATGAGAAGTTAGACTAGCCTCTCTGGTAAGCCATGACACTGAGGTAAGGGCATTAATAATGAGCTATAGGGTTACAAAACAGAGAGTGGTTAATTTTTGACTTGATTTCTAGAGAAATCAAGAAAAGCCAGAACTGTAGAAGAATGAATCAAAGTTTGCAAGAGAGGGAATAGCACCCCAGAACAGGAGTGGCATGAACAAAGTCTCGGAGGCAGGAGAGCCTTTTAAAATCAAACCTGGAGATTGGGGAAGCCAGTTTTGTAAGAGATGCTGGGGCTGAAGGCTGGGGAAGTAGGAGGACATGGCTAGTTCTGTCAGCATTGTTGCTACTGTGACTTAAGGATCTGACCAGAACAACTGTACAGGAGGAAAAGTTTATTTGGGGGCTCATGGTTTCAGAGGTCCATTCCTTGGGGCTCAAGGTGAGGCAGAACATCATGGCAGAAGAGTGTGGCAGAGCAAAGCAGCTCATATGGTGATCAGAAAGCAGAGAAAATGGTCCCCACTTGTCAGATACAAATATATTCCCCATAGCCACATTCCCAATTCCCACCTCCTCCAGCCACACCTCACCAGCCTTTAGTTACCACTCAGTGAATCTCTATCAGGGGGTTAACTCACTGGAGTAAGGCTATGACCCATTCATTTCTCCTCCAAACCTTCTTGCATTGTCTCACTCGTGAGCTTTTTGGGGACACCTCACATCTAAACCACAACACCGGGTGATGAGGAAAGAATCTGGAGACATGGTAGGGGCCATGTGGTAGTGAAATGGAAGAAAACGGGGTGAACAGGTGAGGAGGAGGAAGTCTTGAGGGCAGCGGGATGGGTGACCTGCGCTGGTTTGAGTTTGGATCGGGACACTCTGGCTGCTGAATGGAGAATAGATTGAAGGGGAGTGAGACTGAGTTTCACCTGGCAAGCCATGGAATTTCAATAATCACCTGTGTGTTTTCCTGCCTGTCTCAGAAAAGCAGCCGGATATCAGGCAAAACCAGTTTCCCAAAACGAAACCACTGCCTTCCATTGAGTCCCTGGGTCCTCCTCCCGCCAAGCCATCAAAGCCCCCGAGTGTGGACCTCCAGGCTTTCCAGAGGCAGCCAGCTTCTGTTGCTAAGGCCCAAAATGAAGGTAAGGAACAGCACGGGCCTCACACAGAGCCAGCCGGAAGTCACGGCTCTGGTGCCTGCATCCCCAGTGCCACCTCCCTCTCCAGTGCCACCGCTCCTCCTCCACGAGGCTCCCCATCACTGCTTATTCTCCTGTATAGGCTGTGGCAGTTTGCCCGTGAAGTGACAGATCTGCAGGAACTGGCCCCTTATCTCTCCTGGGCCAGCTCGCTCCCCCTGAGGGTTCTGCATTTGATCACTGGGAATCTGTCCAAGAGGAAAAAGAAAATGAAAAGTCACCAAGCAGGGAGGCAGTGAGGCTCTGCATTCCTTGCAAAACCTGAGCTGCCGACACAATCGGTGCAGAAAAAGAAAAGGAAGTGAAGAGAAGGAGAGCAATTGTGAACTTGACCTGAGGTTCTTTTTTTTTTATTGGTTGTTCAAAACATTACAAAGCTCTTGACATATCATATTTCATACATTAGATTCAAGTGGGTTATGAACTCCCATTTTTACCCCAAATACAGATTGCAGAATCACATTGGTTACACATCCACATTTTTACATAATGCCATATTAGTAACTGTTGTATTCTGCTGCCTTTCCTATCCTCTACTATCCCCCCTCCCCTCCCCTCCCATCTTCTCTCTCTACCCCATCTACTGTAATTCATTTCTCTCCTTGTTTTTTTTCCCTTTCCCCTCACATCCTCTTATATGTAATTTTGTATAACAATGAGGGTCTCCTTCCATTTCCATGCAATTTCCCTTTTCTCTCCCTTTCCCTCCCACCTCATGTCTCTGTTTAATGTTAATCTCTTCCTCCTGCTTTTCCTCCCTGCTCTGTTCTTAGTTGCTCTCATTATATCAAAGAAGACATTTGGCATTTGTTTTTTAGGGATTGGCTAGCTTCACTTAGCATAATCTGCTCTAGTGCCATCCATTTCCCTGCAAATTCCATGATTTTGTCATTTTTCAGTGCTGCGTAATACTCCATGGTGCATAAATGCCACATTTTTTTTATCCATTCATCTATTGAAGGGCATCTGGGTTGGTTCCACAGTCTAGCTACTGTGAATTGTGCTGCTATGAACATCGATGTGGCAGTATCCCTGTAGTACGCTCTTTTAAGGTCTTCAGGGAATAGTCCGAGAAGGGCAATAGCTGGGTCAAATGGTGGTTCCATTCCCAGCTTTCCCAGGATTCTCCATACTGCTTTCCAAATTGGCCGCACCAATTTGCATTCCCACCAGCAATGTACAAGAGAGGATGTGGGGAAAAGGGTACTCTTGTACATTGACCTGAGGTTCTTAAGAGGTCCCCCTTGGGCTCCTGTGATCTGCCTGCACTAATTAATTAAAGCCTCTCCCACCCCATCCAGGAAGTGAACCATCCTTAGAAGTCATTTTTCTGTGCCATTTTGTGTCTTACTCTGCTACTTAAAGGAATGTCTCTCATGCCTCATCACGGGCTGATCTGTAGACATTCGAAATGCCTTTGCTTATATTCATCTAATGAAACATAAGGGGAACATACACTTTGGGGCAATATGTAGTGCTGTGCTAACATTTGTTTTACTGTGGCCATCAGCACCAACAGATGGTACTTTGAGAGAGCTAATGCAGTCTTTGATTGCTCATTTGTCTGCTTTGGGCAGCCTCATGGTTGAATTTCTTTAATTTGGTGGTTCTCAAACTTAAGCATGCATCAGAATCACCTAGAGGACTTGATAAAACTCAGGTTGCAGGACCCCATTCCCTGAGTTTGATTCAGTTGGTCTGGGATGGAGCCTGAGAATTTGCCTTTTGACCAATTAATAGGAAAGCTGATGTTTCTGGCCTAGGGATCACACTTAAATCATCTTAAGTCTTATCCTAAAAGAAAATGCTATATAGAAAGATAGAGGTCTTATAAGTACCCTTTAGTAATATGGCCACTTCCACATCAAGGAAGGCTAAGTGTGATTCATGTCTCAAACCATCTCTCTGAAAGGGAAGATGGTTGTCAACACAGAACAAAGCATTAAGTCCTTTGTAATAAAAAGGGGCCTTGTAAATCCCATCTCCTTAACCATCTAGTACTCACCAAGTCTCATTTTTACTTATCTGTAAAACCCATTTTGCGGGGGTGGGGGGTAAATGGGTAATAATTACAACTCCAATCTCAGAATTATTGCAAGAACAATAAGGTGATGCCTAGAAAGAACTGAAATAATGCTCAGCACCCCAGTAAATAAAGCTTCTGTGTTATTTCAACCACTCATTGAGCAGATAGTGTCAGGCCCTATGATGGAAGCAAGAGATGGAGATAAATCCCACAGAGTTTCCAGTCCTCAAATAGGTCAAAGTCTAATGCAAGAAGCTGTGCCATAAATAAACACCATAAAGCAAGAGTGAGTGTGATAAGTAGGGATGAGTAACCCCCACCCTGCCCCCATGCCATGGTGGGAGTGGGGTGTTTGGGAACACAGGTGAATTAACACTCCATACATGGTCTCTGGGATCCAGCCATGTCATGAGTATCGTTCACTTTAACCAGGCTGCTGACAACACCTTTTTTTTTTTTTTTTTAATTTTGCCTCTTGTTCTTGCAGTGACCGTAAAAGAGGACTGCCCACCTCCGGAGAGGTGAGTACCTGCTCCTTAATTGTGTAGGAGTGCAGACCATCAACCTGGCTACTTTGCTTGCCTAACAGCAGGCAGGGAGCTCAAGTCAAGTGTCTGTTGTCCTCAGAAGAGTTGCAGGAAGAGCAGATATATTATAAGCAACAATCTGCAACTTTTGTTTTAAAAGAAAGATTAAATAAACTGCATTTAACTACTATGCTAACATTAAGTTGCAGAGATGGTCCTCTGAAGTACTTTTTTTATTGTACAGATGGGTTCAGTAAATTGAAACATGAGCTTTGATAGTCATAAATTCATTTAGAGGTTATAGAATGCTCTGGGCAGCTGTGATGTTAGGAATCGGTAATGGTGTGCAGGGTGTGCTATTTCTGGTATGCTGCTTCGAAGAATTTTGCTGTGGAAGTGTCAGTTCATTAATTCACCCAACCAAATCATGAGCCCTTTGAAGTGACACCCATTGAGCTGGCTACTTTTTACAGACTTTGTCATTTAGTTGTCTCCGGAGCCTTGGCAAAGTTGCTGCTGCTGTCCTGGTTTTATAGCTCAAGACACGAGGGTCCAGGAAGTTTGCCACTTGCTGAGGCAGGATTCCAGCCCAGATATGCCCAGATTATTTTAACTATAAGCCTTGCCTCCCTCACAAAGATGTTTCTTGTGTGAAGGTTAGTCTGAGAAGGAGAAACCAGCTCAAAAATGATCATATTACTGATTCATTCATCAAATGTTTATAATAAAGTGTATTACATTTGTTATAGAGTAGATTATAAGATTCAGAGTTTGTACCAGTAAGGGAATGGTCACTACTTGGGAGTGTCAGGAAGGGTCAGGGAAGTCTAAAGATGTATCAACTATCTACTGCTCCGTTAATACTGTTTAATAAATAATGTTTAATAAACATGCAATGTGAATCTGTGGGATACATTTGATCTGAACTTGCTGGTATGTTTGCAGTCATCTGTGGACTATAGGCCGCTTTGCTGATTCTGTCTAGGGATGCTCACATGTCTGGGGATCAGCATGAAGCTGGCTAATCTAGGAGTGCATTGGGGCAGGGATGACTGGGCACCTTGACTTGGCACCACCTGTCTCTTATTCTCCAGCAAATCAGCCCCAGGAATGCACTCCTGGGAGTGGCAACAGTCAATCAAGACAATCCCAATAGACTATGTTCTACTATGTTCTATTTTAAATCCTTTGCTGTATCACCTTTGTTAACATTCTATTGCTCAAAGCAACTCAAATGGCCAAGTCCAAGGTCAGAGTGGAAAGGCACTAAAGGCTTACATGGCAAATGACAGGGATCTAGATAGCCTGAAGAATAGGGGCATGAATCCAGTCAAGCCATCAATAAAGAGGAAACACCTGACATGAGTATTGAGGATGAATGATGACTTGGGAACGGGTGCTCCATAGGCAGAGGCAGGCGGTATGAAGTCACCTGTCTTATGTCTACTTAATTCTAGAAAGAGTTAAGTAGAGTTAGAGCATAAAAAGCATAGAAAGGGAATTGAGGTGTCAGGAATCACGTTGTGGAGAATCCTGTACACCAAGCGATTGATAAGATCCTCTTATTCAACAAGGATCCATCTGTGTAGTGCTAGACTCAGTTCTTGTGCTCTTAATGGAGTTGCCCATTTGAAAGAGTTAAGTGTCCTAAGCACAAGGCAAACCATAGAGCTGCATGTATGTGAAAGGGAGAAAATGGTGCTGATGGCTCAGGCAGTGGAGTGCACCCTTCACTCAGCACAAACCCTGCTGTGACCGCTAAAGAGACAGTGTACCTCTGCTAGGCTGGGTGGGCCTTGGTTGTCTCGTGGCTGTGATGCTGTGACCATCTCGGTATGAGCATGTGTGTGCCGTGACTGTGTTGTTTATGCATTTTCCCCACATTTTGGCACTGAGGTATGGTGACAATGGCACTGTAACCTCAGAAACAGCAAACCACACCAACATGAGTGACAAACTTGCTGTAACATGCCTGTTGGGAGAGAAAACTCAGTCTCCAACATGGTGCTACCTTTCCTAAGGATTTATAAGGGTAGTTTTGACCATTCTGTCCTTTTATGTTGACTTTATAATACAACTCACATCTGAAATGAGGTTTCATCATATATTAATTATGATATGGGCCATAGTAATAACTAGAAACAAGATAAAGAGGGAACAGAGTTCTTAGGGGTGGCTTCATGGAAGAGGAAGTAATTCAAGCTGTTATCCTGTATGATGAGTAGGAATTAGGTAGGTTTACTTATTTGTTCCTTTTCAATATACTGCAAGTGAAATCCAGGCAGGCTATTGTTCCTGAAAATAACCACATTCTTGATTCATGGGTGAGTGGATGGATGGATGGATTGAGGGATGGACAGATTGACCAATGGACAGTCAGGATGGAGTTAGAACATGATTGAAAGTAGGGGTATAGTAATAAATAAGAGAAAATAAATAGAAAGCATTCTAATATGAAAAAATAAGAGATAACTTTTTTGTGTGTATGTGGTGCTAGGGATTGAACCCAGGACCTTGTTCATGGAAGGCAGAGACCCTACCAACTGAGCTATATCTCCAGCTCTAAAAGATACCTTTTACTTTGAACTCCTTTATCATATCTGTTGTTTGCAAGTCTGTATTCTTTGTAAAATCAACACATAAAAAGACATGGTTTTGTTGACTGGATTCAAATTTAATGTGATGCTTTGAAATAAACTCACTACTTTTAGAAACATAAAAAAAAGAGAGAGCAAGAGATAATGTTGAATCCTGTAGTTGGCCCTCCCTATCTGTGGATTCTGAGTCCATGGATTCAACCAACCTCAGACAGAAAATGTGTGAAAAAAGTTGTGTCTGTACTAAACATACAGATTTTTTTCTTGTCATTTTTCTATAAAACAATATAGTATACCAACTCTTCATATAACATTTATATTATATTAGATATTATAAGAAATCTACAGATGATTTAAAAGATCTGGCCAGGAATCATAATCCCAGTAGCTCAGGAGGCTGAGGCAGGAGGATAGAGAGTTCAAACCGGCCTCAGCAACTTAGCAAAGCCCTAAGCAACTCAGCAAGACCCTGTCTCTAAATAAAATATTTTAAAAAGGGCTAGGAATGTGCCTCAGTAGTTGAGAGCCCCTGGGGGTTCAATCCTCAGTACCAAAAAAAAAAAAAAAAAACAAAAAACAAAAAAAAACCTGGAGATCTGTATACGTTATATGCAAATTCT